ACACCAGCCAAACACACTAAAGATACCAACAAACTTACACCAGAAATAACCGAACTGTGGTCTGTTTTCATGATGAACGAAGAGACAGTCTGTGGATGTGATTAAATTAGTGGTAATTCAAGTCGAGTCTTGTTGTAATGTAAACCAATTCCAAGCAGGAAGAAAATACTAGTAATATGACCTCGAGCCTGAAATCGTTTTGATTGGGATAATTTGTGCCGGGGTCAGCACACTGGCCCGTAGACATAGAAAACGTTTGATACTATAAATAAAGAAATACAAGTCGAGGCAGACAATCATTTATACAAATAAACAAGGAAATAACGAAATACTTACTTGAAGTGAATGGGATGAAAACGTCTTGCAGTCGACGAGCAGGATTTTTTTGTCTCGGTATTTTACTTCTTATACTATCTGCAGGCGCTCTAAAAGCTCAAAACTGTTCAACACAATGTAAAAATATATCACAGACAATGATGACTGAACTTCTTTTTTCAAAATAAGCAAAAGCGGCCATTTTGATTAGGCTTCAACAAAGGATTTCTTATTAGTATCTATTGTTCATTCAAGCAACATGGACTTCGGTTTTTTTATCTTTTGAAACTCATGGAAATGATTGAAAGCAATCGATATCGAAGTATTTTTGCATTGATAATGTAGTAGATGCCATGCAAAACGCTGCTCTATAACCTAGTAGCTGTCATGGATAAACCGCTCAAGTGACAGACAGATTGAAAAGAAAACACTTTCTCTATCAGGTATTTATTTTATTACAAACTCGTTGATATCTATTATGTTATATCATGATACTTCAGGTTTTGCGCTTCTAGTGTACAATGCTTTCGCAAGAAGGCAATAGTTTCTGGGTGTGGCTAAGCTTTATGCTCATCGACGCTTGGTCTTGAATCTTTTGTGCTTCTTTTTTCTTCTTTTGTCTTCTTCTTTTTTGACGGAAAACGTAAGAAACGCGGCGTCCTTGTAACTAGTACATTGACTGGTCCAAATTTGCGTCACATTCCTAAAGATCATTTTTTGCTCTAATAGTTCTCAGAGATTGGCTCGAGATGTCGTTTATAAGTTCGTTAGAGCATATGAACGCTTCTCTGGATAAAATTTTTGACAATTGTTCGGCATTTTGCATTCGGATGCATGATAATGTGCGGTATTATTTTAATGGTCGCATGCTATTGTTTTGCAACCTGGTCGATCGAGCTTCCATGGCGGCCATCTTTAATACTTTTAACAACAAAGCACTATTACGCCGACCAAACATTTTAATGTCGGAATGGTTTATGTTTCCTAGTCGGCCGCTTGTTTGTCGGTGTAAACAATATAAACAAGAAGAAAAGCGCTCAGGTTAACAATGGAAAACAATAGCTATTGTTCGCTTGTCTGAATCAAATCCTTATAAAGGCAAAGGCTCAGCCTGAGGTCATTAGTCTACGACAACAACAGCAACAAGAACAACAAATATACAGTCAAGAAGGTATGGAATACCAGAGCAGAAAGCGTAAATCATGGCACACTTTTGAAACTGAAGACTTCGGTAAGTCATTCTCTTTTTCGCATATACTTCAATTCTTTTTTCAGAAGATTGGACTGTAATTTCAAAAAAACGCTCATGTACTTCTTCAGAAATGACTGTACTTTTAGACACACTCGTGTAAACTTAAAAAAAAAATTATTTACATTTATAATGAATTAGTTTGAGGTTTTTGGTATGCTGTCGAGGCAAACAAGTACTGTTTGACATTGCTCTATGAACATTCACTTCTCTTGGAATAGCTTTTTTCAATTGTTTGTTTCAGAGTCTTTTGATCGGCCCAAGAAACGAACTCGTATTTTTGTCACAAAGGAGCAAAAAACTCACTTTCGTCGAATCTACAACCCAGAGAAACAAGCTGTTATCAGACAGCATCTTTCAACACAGTTAGCGGCAAATCAGACTGAATTTGAGGTGAATATTTTATTGTATTTATTGCTAAATTATTTCGTATTTATAAATCTATGCATGTCGAGATTCGACTTGACTGCGAGTTGGAAATCGAGTTCGAGTATTTATTGCTATCCTGCTTGATTTGTATCTTATTAACGTGTAACGAGTAATATACGAGTACGAGTAGAATACGAGTGCACAAGTTCGGAGATTAGATTTGTGGACCTGCACTAAGAAAGAAGCATAAGAAGTGATTGGTGAGGTAWATTTTCAAACTCGTACTCAGTTCTAAARCTCGCTATGATGTWAAATGTACCCTTTCATTGACCATCACTTGTGTAATGCAACAACGTCGTTTGAACAAGCAGTATATTCTACAACCCAAGCTAAYTAGGTAAWTATTTATGTATTAGGACCTCATTAATGAAAATCTTATAATTCCTATTATTTTCAGAAATGTTTGAAGGAACATTCAGCGATTCGTAAATCACCTCAACGAGCATCGACAACCAACACCTCCCCTCTCAGTCATCCATCACTAGCACAGACATCTACCTTCACCACCCCCCTCGGTCATCAAACGGAACTCCGAACGACTGCACAGAGCTATCCAACTCTCCTCAGTCACCTGTCAGAAAATGCAGCAACAACCAGGACCTACACCACCCCACTCAGTCATCCATTGGAACCCCAGTCRGCAACAACATTYGGGACCTATACYACCCCCRTCAGTCATCARTTGYCTTCATCAGYTCGCTCYAGTCCTATGSCGACCACCCTAGACAGCGTTGTTATGGTACCTTTCTTTCGAATTGCTGACAGTCAAACCCAAAGTCATCGTTACGTCTGTGCTGCTAAATATCTGGGTTTTTATGGCGTCTCTGGCGAAAGGGATCAGTAGTGAATTGAGAATATATATTTGATATTTGTAAAGAGATCTTGTAATTTATAGCGTTTGTAAATAAACTTTGTTGTAGGCAAATACAAGTTATTTTTTTCATGAATTTTCTAAGAAAGCATTTTACAATATACTGTGAATTATCTCTAGAATTAGTTAGAAAACCGCGACTGAACCAGCTAGAGAAAAACAGTTGGTAGAACATCAAAGAATTGTATGCGGGATCCATTTTAGTTTTGGGCCTCCTTTCGCGAATCTAACCATATATGGAAACAAGCAAAATGGGCTATTGTTAGGAAGTCGTATCGCTACAATATCTGCAAGATTCAGACAATTTAAAACTTCAAAAATCGAGAAAATCTTCAAAACCGATTCTACACGTACTTCCAAATATGTAAGATTACAATATACGCCTGCTAAACTAATGTGGAGCACTTTCTTTTCCTGCTTTGATAATGGCGTTAATACTATACAGGGTCTTACAAAAACAAATTTTCTTTTCGTGTCTATCCGTAGCATTTCAGTTTTCCAAGTGTGTGATATGCTTGTTCGCTACTGTGATCAGTGTCACCAAATCGTAATTGTGATACAGGAAGAGTTGTTTTGTCAGTTAACACACCGCTGTCACTACGCCAACCACTGCCTCTTTCACCGCAATTACACCCACCATTGCTGTGTGAACACGTGTTGGTCATAGAGCATGCGCATTTGTAACTCCCAGGTTTTGCACCGCCCCAGTAGTTCTGACGTACACCGTCACGTGATACCCACCAACCAAAGCCAATATCAAGAAAAGCGACACCATTGTTACATTCAAACTTAGTAAACTGTTCACAGTTTGTTGATATTTGAGTCAGTTTTGCCAACTGAGCCATCGATGCACCATTGTAACGAACATCTTTACTATA